CAAACATGCCAGAGGGCGTGGGCCAGAGCTGGTCCTTAGAAGCTGCCTGCCATCGGCCAGAGGTGGGTGGGCTGGAGATAATCTTTAGAAATGGTCCACCAGGTGGGGCAGCTATAGGGTTGCCAGAATTAGCAAGTGAAAGCACAATCGCAAATATTGTAAGAAACGTACTAAAAGTCATTTGTTGTTTAACTGAAATCCAAGTTTAACTGGGTGTCCTGTGTTTTATCTGTCAGTCCTCGAGAGTGGTGCAGCCAAAGCTGCCATGGAAGCAGCTACGGGTAAGTAAAGTGTGGCCTGAGGGTGCAGCCGGGGCAGGTCCAGAGAACCACTGACGCGAGCACCACTGGGTCTTCTGTACACTGATCCATTGGCTTGCACACTGAATAAAAAGAGAGAACCAGAACCCATAAGGAATGTGCCTTCCTGTCACCATCACCTTGCCATGTTCCCCCAGTGCCCTCTATTGACAAAGCCTAACATTGAGCCAACTGGCAAAGAAGAAATGTTTCACAACTGGCAAAAGGCCAAGAAGAGTGGACTGGGGACCGAGACTCCCATTGCAGAGCCCTGCCATGTGAATGCCTTTTGTCTGCTCTTTGTCTTCAACTCTCCACTTAAATGTCCCTTCCTCTAAAATGCCTTCCTTTCTTTACCCACAATCTAAATCAGTAGCCTCTCAAGCCATCTTATGTTTACTTTTCCTTTATAGCATTTGTCATCATTTTAAATTATGTATTTGTGCAATTATATCGTTAAAATCTGTGTTGCCCACTAAAAGCTGGTGACTTTTCTTCAGTGCTGTATATACCCAGTAGGTAGTAAATCAATCAATTAATTTAATTATCTCAATCTTGTTTTAACCAAATGGATTTCTACCATGTGCTGATAGTACTACCAGCTAGAGTACTGGGTATGAGGTGATAAGACCTAAAACTAAAGGACCAAACCAGGGCCAATTCTTGATGCCATGCCAAGTAATTTGAACTTTTTTTTTATCTTAAAGGTCCTAGGGAGCCATTGATCTAATTTGCTTTTAGTCAAGATGTCTTCCAGGTTCCTGGCATGAGCAATTAGATGGATGGTTGGGGCTAGTTACTGGGGCAGGAAAAGGAAGAAGCGCAGTTTGCGAGGGTAAGAATAGATGCTAGTTACAGGGCAGACGATGAAAGCTAATGAGGTCTGCCTTTCAAAATGTGGCGCTTGGACATGTGTGACATTCAGGTAGAAACAGCCAGTAGGTAATGATATGGAATTTGGACGGGAGATCCAGGCTGAAATAGAGATGGGAGTCATCAGCATTTAGGTGGTAGTTCAACCCATGGAGTGGCAATCACCCAGAGAGACACTAGAGTGAGAAGAGGACTGAGGACAGAACTCTTAGGTCTATCAGTATTGAAGCGGGCAGAGACAGAGAAGCTTGCAGAGGAGAATGAGGAAGAGCTGCCAGACAGGTGGGAGAAATACTGAGGGTCCATGATGTTGCAGAAATCAAGGAGGAAAACATTCAAGGAGTAGTCAAGAGTCATATTTGGCACAGGGGAAAAATACAAGTTGTGAAAAAAAAGTCCACTGGATTTAGCAATGAGGAAGTAATTGGTGACTTTAAAAATGAGCATTTGGGGCGTCCCTGGTGGCGCAGTGGTTGAGAGTCCGCCTGCCGATGCAGGGGACACGGGTTCGTGCCCCGGTCCGGGAAGATCCCACATGCCGCG